GGGGGGTGCCCCAGCTGGACCCGCAGTTTTTTTTTTCGTTGGGGGACAAGATCGGCGCATCGATCCCCCTGGGTGAGGGGTAGGTAGAGCCCTTCCCGGTGGAGTACTATCCTGGGGGCGGCAAAACCGGGTCCATGGGGCCCCCCCGGCCCGGCAATAAGCTTGGGGGCCACCTTTTTTCGGGAGGGTTTCCCCGCCCGGAAATGCTTTTTAATAAGGGGAGATGCCTCGTTGTTCGGGAGAGGCTTCCTTTTTATTTTTTGGGGGGGAAAATTGGTTGAAAAATTTGGTCGGGGGGGCCCCCGCTTCGTTAAAGGACGCCCCGCGGACTTTTTTTTTACGGGTTACGCCATCCCTGGTATCTTTTTTACTTTGGGTCTTGCGGGGGGTGATTCGTGGGGGAGAGGGGGACCCCCCCCCCCCCCCCCCCCGCCGCGCCCCCCGCGCCCCGCCCCCGGCGCCGGCGTCCACACCCGTCCCGCCGGCGCGGCTCCGGGGGATATATAGTTGTATCTTGTATGTCGGTTATAGAGAAAATAAATAAATAAATAAAAACGGACACCTCTATCGCTACTGTGAGATGGGTAAAAGGAGAAGAGACAAGACGTGTGAGGTGTGTGTGGTGTGAGGAGCCGCAGTGAGCTCCTGGCGGTCCTGCGAAAAATTTAAATGTGAACACATATCATGTGCACACCGCAGCAACGTAAGCAAGCACACATCACGTTTCCCACATGCGTTATGGCACGGCACATCGGCACATTGATCATCTCGTCTCTACTACTAATGTCGAGAGATCGGTACGATCAGATCGCTCACATCGTATTGGGTTATTGCTACAGGACTAGAGGAGAGCGTAGGGGCCTCGAGTCGTCCTCGACCCGATCGCACTCAGAGGGCGAGCGCCCGAGACCCACCACACGACAAGGAGATAGGCACTGGACACCATGCCTTATCGGCTAGGGCCTGAGCGGGCTTCTCTCGACCTCGCCCGATCACGCACTCAGAGGGTGCGGCGACCGAGGCCCGCGCGGGGAAACCAACATTGAACAGGGCATGGATGGATCCCTCCTGGTCGGAGGGGTTGCAGAGCACCCTGCGAGACCGCCCCGTCAAACTAGACCACGGCGACGGGGTCGGCCAGCGCAACCGACAGGAAGGTATCGAGTCCTCCGTCGCTCATTATGTCCATGCAAAGGTGAGGAGGAGAGAACATGGGGTCCACCCGGGACGCCGCCCTCTCGAGGGGTGACAGCCCGAGCTCGTTGAGGGGAGGCAGCCCGAGCGCGCTCACAGGCTCGTCGAGGAGCTCCTCGAGAGCGGCAGTGGCCTCGCCTTCGGTGATGTCGTCGCGGGCAAGCGCGGTCGAAACCACCGTCGGAACAGTTGCCAGCGCCGTCGCCGCCTGCGCCGTGGCCGTCGTCGCAACGGCGGCCTGGACGGCGACGGCGACGGCGGCGTCGGGCGAGCTGGCAACGGGCACGCACAGAGCAAGCCCGACTTGCTCCTGCTGAAGGCCGAGCGGCTTCTTGAAGTTGCCGCTCGCCGTGCACTCGAGCCCGAGCCGCACGCAGCGTGCGCAGGGCATCGCGTCGTTGAGGTCGCACTTCGTCTTGGCCCGCTTGCAGTGGTCGCAAGCGCGGCGCACTGGCTTCGCTTCGCCCTCACACTGGAGCCCGAGCCGAGTGCACCGCAGGCACGGCCGCTGGTCTGTGCAGGCCGTCCGCGCCTTTTGGCAGTTCTTGCAGGCGTGGAGGACCGGCCGGTAGTCCCCACGCGAGGAAGGGAGCCGGCGAGTCTTCTGCGGCGGCGCTTTCACGCCAGCATTGCCTCGGTGCTCCCACTCTGACACTGGCTTAGCGGTTAGCCCGCGCTCGAGCCCCCGTGCCTTCTCCGGCGTGGGGTGCTCGTTGTGCTTTGATGAGTTCTGAAGCCGCGAAAGCTCCTGCTTGAGCGAGCGCGCCTGAAGCGGGTCCTTAGTCGCGGCGAGCAGCCGGTGCGAGACGTCTGCAAGCTCGCCGTCCTTCACCTGGCGGCCGTGCGTCTGCACCACGAAGGTGTCCTCTAGCGAGTCATCGAAGACGCGTGTCGTTGCGTGCACTTCGATCACCTTGCAGCCAGAGATGGCCAGCGCCGCCGTCATGGAAGCGAGCACGCCGTTGATCTCGAAGCAGTATGTCGGCACGACCGCGTCTCCTCCGCCGTCGGCGAGGCGCGCCACGCGCTCCGCCGTGGCCGCCTTCTGGCATTTGTAGCGGGTACACATGGTGCGGCGCGCATACTTGAGCACACCGTGGTTGGTGCAGTTGGCGCACGTGCCTGTGGGATAGGGCGCCATATGGCGACGCGCGCGCTCCGGGTATTTTTCGGGTATACCTGAGAATTCTCGGGTATACCCGGGTTTTACCCGGCCGGCCACCTGGGTCGGTCCGAGGGTGTTCCAGGAATGATCAGAATGGCGAGGGCCAGAACGTGTTACATGTACTAGTCAGAACGGACCCCAGTTGCCGATCCTGCCAACTCAGCTTATTGCAATACCTCTGAACACTAATCACAAGAAATAACTCTCTGTTCTCTCTCACACGACACTGTGGGCACGGGACTGGCGCGCACTGGCACTATCACAGGTACATACATCAAGAATTTAACAGCGCAACTCCCCCGCACAAAGGACGGAAACAACCATTAGACAGTGGTGGAGGGCGCAGTGTTGCCTGGGCAGTGCCCGGGACCAAACCACCCCTCACACCCGGCGCATGCCCGCCGCCGCATGCGGGGGCGCCGTCTTGACGAGGAGCTCGCTCGCCAGGAGCTGCTGGTTCTCGAGCCGCTGAGGCCACGAGAGGTTGCTGTAGCAGCGGTCGCCCAAGCAGCCGGGATTCTTCAGCGGGGCGCGCACCTGCGCCACCATCTCCTCAAATGCGGGCGTCTTGACGAGTTGCCGCTCGCTATCGAGGTAGGCCACTCGCCGGCAGCGGTACTGGTAGCTTGTACCGGAGTGCGGGTCAAACTTGGAGCGGTAGTCCACCCTCACCAGATCTTGCGACGAGTCAAAGGCGACCTTCTCGCCGTCGGGGCCCTTCAGGGTTTCGCTGGCAGACGGGGCGTAAAAGAATCCAGCCGCGCCCGCCATGCTCAGCCACTTTCCACTCTTGCTCACGTGCAAAATCATGGGCGGCTGGCATGGAGCGCAGCATGCGAGGCAGGCGCCCCAGATGGTCGTGTCTCTTGCCCAGTTGGTATCCAGGCGCTTGGTAGCGACGGCAGTTGCCCTTCCGGTGGCGCCTGGCTCCAGTCTGCCTCTTGAAGCGTGATGAGGAGCTCGTTGACGACATTGTCTTGCATCCAAAAGACACCGCGGTACCGGTCCGGGCAGGCTTCGGGCGAGCCGCCCGAGAGCATTCGCCGCCAGACTTCGTCGTCGCTGTGCAGGATGTCCAAAGTCTCGAGCCCTCCGCAGCCTTTGAGCGAAGCACCGCAGCAGGCTGCGCACGGCGCACAGGTTGGCGTC